CGCCGGGTCGCCGAGGACCCGCCAGCAGCAGACGACGAGTCGCTGATCACGCGTCCGGCGGGCCCGAGCTCGACGACACGGTCGGCGATCCGGAGCGCCGACTTGCGGTGCGTGACGAGGAGGAGCGTCCTGCCGGCGAGGGCCTCCTCCACCGAGTCGAGCAGCGCCGCCTCGGTCGCCGGGTCGAGTGCGGCGGTGAACTCGTCTAGCGCGACCTGTTCACGGCGAGGCGGCGTGAAGAGGCGCCGGTCGAGCTGCGGGCTGGACTCGTCCGAGCGCGACCACGGGCGACGGGCGCAGCAGCACGCGCGCGAGCGCGATGCGCTGCCGCTGCCGCCCACGGAGAGGAAGGCGGTGCCGCATTCAGAGCTGCGGCCGGTGCCAGTGCTGCGGCCGGTGCCGCCTCGGCGCCTCCTCCTGGCGCTGGCGGCGTGAGGGCCGTCGCATCCTGCGGCACATCAAACTCTTGATGGTAGCCTGCGCCAGAGCCGGAGAGGCGGGGGTTGTTGCCGACGGCGTCGCCCTGGAGCAGGTCGAGCGCGCCGCGGCGCCCGCGGAGAGCGAAGGCGTCGACAGCGCCGCGGCCCGGCCCTCCGCCCTGCCGGCCGACCGCGCAGGGCGAGCAGTCGGCCGCTGCGCGGGCTTGGCCGCCGTCGCCGGGAGATGCGCTGCTGCCGGGTGGCGAGCCCCATGCAGGGATGTGCGCCTGCAGGCTCGCGAGAGCGATGTGGGCCTGCTGCGCCGCGTGCCGCACCGCCTCGGACGGGTCTTGGTGCGAGAGGACACGCATCTGCTCGAGCCGCTCTTCACGGCACGCGGCGCCGTCCGCGGGAGCGGCCGCCGCGAGCCTGCACCAATCGAGCCGCGCCGCCTCCGTCGCGTCGGCAGCGAGGGCGCCGGCCGAACTCATGTACACAGTGGCGAAGCGGTCGCTGATGGCTTGAGGCGGGGGCGGGCGGGCGCTAACTACGGGCAACTACATGTCGAAGGTTCGAGGTCGACTACTCGCCGCCTGGGTCGTTTGGGGCGCGCGGCTCCGTCGAGGACCGGGCGCGCCCCTTTCCCGGCGCGGCGTAGGTCCCACTCTGACGTATAGAGGGGAAGCACGGACAACGGCCCAACTCGTCAATTCCACTCATCTTCTGGTGCCTAGCCCCGTGCAGCGGCGGTCCGGCAGGCTGCCCCCAAGGCCCCCTGGGCCGCTGCGGGTTTTGGAGTTATGCTTTGGCACAGCTTCGGCGATGGCGGCCCCTCTCTGGGGCTTGCATAGGCGGGGAGTCTCCCTCGCTGGTCTCCTCATTCCCTTTTTTCTTTTTCTTTTGAGCTGGGTGTGCCGCCGCGCGGCGCTCGCGCGGCGGCGGTGTGTGTGTGTGTGTGGTGGTGGTGGTGGTGGGGGGGGGGGGGGGGGGGCTCCGGGGCCCCCAAGAAAAAAGCTCCGCAAACATCGGCCCCCCAAGGGGGAAACAAGAAGGGGGGATGGCCCGCCCGCCCCCAAAAAAACGGCAGGCCCCTACGGGGAAACCCTCACTTTCCTGCCTCAAAAGGGCGGGGCTGTCCCGAAAAAAGAAAAACCCCCGGCAACGGGGCCCAACATTAAACCCCCCCAAACGGGCTCGGGCCCCCCCTACGCTGTCCCATCTCCTCATCTCTTTCCCACCTAGGCGGGGCGGGGGTTGGGGGGGCGGCGGGCCCGGGTGCGAGGTGCGGTGCGGTGCGTGCAATCGTGTGTTTGGCGTCATGTCGTGTGTGCCTTCGCTTGTACCTATTAACAACGAAGTCTAGCTCAAAAAAAAACTTCCCCCCCATCATTCGAAATAGTGATCTGATCACCCGAATACCACGTTCGGATCGCTCCTCATCGCAAACCCCGTCAGCGCCTACGGGTATGTTCGTAAGAGCTACATACACAGAAATCAAAAACAAATGACGTGTGAGTGTTAGAGTTGTTTGGTATTGCTAAAAATCTCTCAGAAATCATCAGTCTTGGTCCCGGTGAAACAACATTTGCGCGCTCCTGTCGCCGCGCACATGCCACCAGCTTCGCAGCGCAGCACCGCCTACAGCATGTACTCCGCGAGACGGTCCTTCCTATCACCTCCAGGGCCAGGCGCCTACCAGCGTGGCGTCAACGACTCCACGCTCATGCTCGGCGATAGAGCCAAAGCGTTCCACGGCGACGGCTTTGACCAGTCAAGGGCGCTGCTCAAAGAACGCACCGGACGGCCAAGTCCTTGTGACTACAGCCCATCGACGCTGCGCTCGGGCCGCGGGTTGTGGAGCGGGCGGAGTAGCAGCATTGGCCTGCCTCTCTTGCCTCCGCCGAACCGAAACCCGGGCCCTGGAGAATACAGCCCAATGAGACCGAGGGCGGTGGGCAAGAGCTTTGGTGCGGTTCCTTTGCACGCACGTGCAGCGGGCCTGCTGTGGACTGAGCCGCGCCCTCCGGCGCTTGCAGGCGGCGACGGCTTCAACGAGGAGACACTTCGAATGAAAGAGCTTCACCAACGCCCTGGGCCCGCTCACTACAGCCCCTCGGTGATGCGAAGCGGCGGCCGTTCATTAGGTGCTGGGACGGCAGGGTATACGATCAGCAGGCGGGATTTCAGCTGGGATCTGCCAGACCTGGGCGGCGGGTATGGCAGCAGAGGCCCGGCGATGCTTTGGAGGGGAGAGGAGCTGCGATGCGCACGCGCACGCTACTGCCGCAAGTAAACCTGTCCATCCAGGCATCCTACTGAGTATTCTGTATTGTACTCTCGCTGCCTTTGCTTTGCCTTTTGTGCTCGCGTTGGTCGCGGTTGCCTGAATGGTCAGTGCGGGAGAGGACGTGTACCAGAGTCGACCAGTGCGAGACACCCCGCGCCCGCGCGCCACGCGCGGGGCCGGGCGCGCGGTTGGGGTTGCGCCCCTGCTCGCTGCTGGTGTGCGGGGGGGTGCGTGGTGGTGGTCGTGGTGGGGTCTCGCCCGGCGGGCCATGCGCCGAGAAAAATAACAACTGTTTCAACTGGTGAGAAAGCTGCGGCGATCGTGCGCTGCGAAAGCGGCGGCGGCGACGAGGCAAGGCGCGAGGTTCGCCGCGAGGATCGGCAGAGGCCGATCCCCCTGGAAGGCGCCCTGCGACGCGATGGCGATCTGCGCGGCGAGCGCGGGCTTCGAGCCCATCTGCGGTATGGGCAACGCGAGTGGAGAGGGGGCGAGGGCATCCAACCTGGCAGAGGCCGCGAGAGCGAGAGGGCGAGCGGTAATCTCGGCTGATCTCGGCTAGATCTCGCCTCAATCCCCATGATGCTCTGCCGCGCGCGGGGCAGCAGCAGCGCGTGATAGGCGCAAACGCCGAGCAAGCCGCCGTGACCGCTGGAGCTCCGCCGCGCCAACATGCAGACGAGCGAAGCGGCGACGCCTGGCCGAGTTGGGCTGTGTCTCAGCTCCTCTCTGGCTCTCTCCTCTCTCGACCGCGACGCGGCTGTCGCCTCACCCGCGCCGACATAGAGAGCTGCAAAGCCGACGCGGCCCAATGCGGCCTGCAGCAAGGCGAGGGGCGTCAAGGCGACCGTCTCCGGGCGCGGTAAGGTGGCGTCTGTTATCTCGGCTTTGCCTCGGCTATACCTCGGCTACACGTCGGCTACACCTCGGCTATATCTCGCCTGCAGAGGCCTGCCGAGCGCGTAGAGCGTGCTCCCCACCCACAGCAGCTCAAACACAGAGCGAGTCGCAAAGGCACCGAGTAGCAGCGTGTGCGGCAACCTGCAAGGGCAGAGGAGGGGAAGGCGGTGGCGGCAGCGCGGTGGCCGTGTCCGTCGGTGCTCTGGCGGCGGCGGAATAGCTGGGCTGCTGATGTGA